GGACACAGGGTGCAGGCCCCACAGCAGAAGGCTGGGCTACGGCATGAGGTGCCAGGAGGGGTGCCCACGGAGGCATCCGCCACTCACCCAGCACAAGGGCGTCCTCCTTGCCACGCACGTCCCGCTGCAGCCCCTCCTTGAGCGCGTCGATCATGACCTGCAGCAGGTTGCAGGCCGCCAGCGAGACCTGCTCATGCTCCGCGCCCAGCAGCCCTGAGAGGCGCGGCGGCCCCAGCTCCACCAGGATGGCCATGGTCTGCAGGCACAGGGACGGTTGCTGCCAGGGGAGCCCCGGGTGCCCAGCCCCAGCCCCATGTCAATGTGCGGCCTCTTGTTGCCGCACCCCTGGCCCTAGCACCTCCACACTCCTGGACCCAGCACCTCGTGCCCATCACGGCTGGGGGGCAGCCCCCAGCATTCAGGGGAGCAGAGATCAGCAAAGGCAGAGAGGCCTTGCTGGCAAGACACTGGTCCCAGCAGGGCTGCAGCCGCTGGGTCAGCCACACCCCTGCCGCGGGAGCCCTCCCCCTGGCACGGCTGACGGGATGGGGGAGCGCGGTGTGGCGCACGGCCCTACCCGGGAGCGGTGGCCAGAGCAGAGGCCGACCAGGGTGCGCAGGGCAGCCAGCGTGGTGTCAGCCTCGCCCGCCTCCAGCAGCTGCTGCAGCAGGCGCACGCCATCGCTCTGGAAGATCTTCTCCGCCCCCGGCTCCTCGCGCGCCAGCACGATCAGGTTCTGCGCGGCCTGCGAGGGAGCAAGAGTCACGGCCAGGTGCCAGCGCCCGTGCCCCACCCCACCGGCGCTCGTGCCCCTGCGGAGGAGCCAGGACCAGCCGTCACCCAGGCCCCAATGCACCAGGCACCCCGGCAGGGCCTTGCCACAGCCGCCCCCTTCGGGGCTTCAAGCAGCCACTTCCCACACAGGGGCAGAGCTCAGAGGCTCCGCACCCAGGGCCTTGGCGGCCTCTCAGCACCACGGCTTGTGTGTGACCCCCACTCGCCCTCCCAGAGCCCCTGCCCCCCAGCCAAGCTAGCCCCCCTCCCTCCCCTCGCACCTTCTGCCTCTTGTCTGCGTCCTTCTCCTCTCGGTCCAGCAGGATCTGGAACATCTGCTGCACTTTGGAGTCCGTGCAGGACATGGTCTTCATCTGGGACAGATGGATGAGCAAGTCAGGGGGGACGGACGGGCTCCAACACGCAGCAGGGGCTGCGGCCGGCCCAGGGGCGAGGGGCAGGGTGGGGGGCTCCACCTTCTCCTGCACGCTGCTGCCCAGGTCGCGCAGCGCCTCCTGGAAGGCCTTGTTCCGGGGCTCCAGGCTCACGCAGCGCTGCAGGTCCTGGGCGGCCTGGTCCAGCCGGCCCAGCTGCCGCAGCGCACGGCCGTCCGCCTCGATGGCTGAGCATGGGGGAGAGGAGCGTCAGGGGGCCGGAGCCCCGGCGGATGGCGCCCGCGCTGGCCTGGCCCCTGCCCGGCCCGCTGGTACCTTTAGATGCATCTGCTGCTGCTTGGAGATAATCCTCCTGCAAGGACAGACGCGGGTGAGGGAGGCCGATCCGTGCGCCGCGGTGCTGGACCTGGGGTCTCGCTAGCCCTGATCCTGGCCCAGACCCTGACGGCGCCTGCAGCTGGGGGGCCGGAGCCCTGCCCCTTCCCCCTCCCCCCGGTGAGACAGGCGGCAGAGAGGAGTCACCACCGCGCACGGTCAGCACGAGCCGTGTGTGCTGCACCCTGCGCGGGGGCAGGAGCTCGCCGGCGCCG